GATCTGATCTGTGCTGGTCGCTGAGGGAATACATCAACTTAGTGCTGTGGCTCGCCGGATTGGCTTTCACCGTTTTCACCGCTTCTTTGCCGGGACCGCCGTTCTCGACCCCGCCGCCTCAGCTCACTCTTGCCCGGCTTCAGCTCAGGCTAAGCCGGGGCTTTCGCACACGGTAGGCCGCTGTGTTTTTCGTTGTGAAAGCGAAACTACTTTGTTTGGCCTTCCAAAAATGGACACGACTAGAAATCAGTGGTTAAGTTGTATTTACAACACTGTTGCAGAACACTTCAACCCAAATATTCGGATGTGTGCAGCACATTTTATGGAGGACTGTTCACTGATCCTGGAAGAGTAGACTACAATGCTGGCTGTTCTGACTCAAAGACTGTAAGTAAGTTTTTTCTATTTAAAGAGTTTTTATATTTTATTTTTTTTATATTTAAAGCGAGTTTTTTGGGCAGTGTAGAGTAGGGCTTGTTGTTTGTCATTTCTCCGATCACAAATGCAGACAAGGTTTTATGTTTACGCAGCGCGATGCAACGCAACGTGTAAAAAGACAGTATAAGTCATTATAATCTGTAATTATGTCCCCACTGGATGCAACGAATGCCTGGTTTATAATGGGTTTTCATGTTTTTGAATCATCGCACCGGCCTGACGGGGCATCATCACAATATGGTGAGGGGCGTATCATTTCCGTCTCATGCTTGAGGTATTCGGCCAATCATAATGCACTGGATAGCTGGCCAATCACAGCACACCTCGCTTTTTCAGACCGATGAGCTTTGTAAAAATCGACGCGTTTCAGAAAGGCGGGGCATAGAGGAGAAACAATAATGTACAGTATGTGGAAAATAATGTGTTTTTTTAACCTTAAACCGCATAAACACATTTCATTACACCAAATACACAAAATACACAAAAAATTTTAGCAGCATCATATGACCCCTTTAAACAGAAAAACAAATCCAAATCCTTTAGAAACAGATGATTGAGTAATAATTCAATGTCAGTAGTGTACATATAATATGTATGTGTGTGTTTTACAGAGAAAATGCAGAGGGCTCTGAAGGAGGAAACCCAGCAGTTAGAAAACGATTTAAACGAGGAACGTTCTCGCTACCAGAACCTTCTTACCGAACACCTCCGACTAGAGGAGAAATACGACGATTTGAAAGAGGAGATCACACTTGCTGTAGTGAGTACACACTTATTTAGGGATTGCAAATCTTCAGTGCTTTCAACTAATCGGTGGGTTTTCTGAATGACTACTCAACTAGTGTATCTTTTTTTTTCTAGAATGTTCCAAAACCTGGTCACAGACGCAAAGACTCCACACACAGCAGCAACGAATCAGAATATACCTACAATTCAGAGTTTGCCGAGTCCGAGGAAGGGACCCGCGGAGGGGAGGTGAGATTAGAATGTGGAATATCATTAAGATCATTCACATTATACCGTATCTATGTTTATGATAGAATTTAAATTCCACTTCTTTGAGTTTGGCTTTTTCAAAGATCATACAAATAAAAGTAACATAAAATAGCATATAGATTGCATGTGTAATTATGGGATGCGTTTTATTCTATCTTCAGGATGTTTCCAAGGCGATACTGGATATGTCCTTGTTCCTAAAGCTGCAGAAGAGAGTTTCCGAGCTAGAGCAAGAAAAACAGTCACTACAGAACGAACTCGATCGGAGAGAAGAGCAGTTTCAGCGGGCTAGAGCTAGGGTACACACACACACATTTACATTTACAGTATTTACTTTTTAAATGAGGATGTACCATCTGTTTTTATTTGAAGTTAAATATAATGACTCTCCATAACCCAAATACTAAAAGAATATAGATTTTTTTTTAAGGACATCCTAAATAGAGATTTTGTCATATTTACTTAAATTCTAGACACAATTTTATTTTTATTTTTTTAAATGTGAAAAATAGAAGCGGTGAATGCCAGAAATGTACCAAAAAAAACGTATTATACTTATTAAACTTATATATATTATAAATGTATTATATATATATATATATATACTGTGTTACTGATAATGTGTTTTTTTATTGACCAGGACGATGAGGAACATAAGAAAGCTCGTAGTGCTGAGCTGGAATATGAATCTCTCAAGGTAAACACACACACTGTCTTCTATTTCTTTTCTTTTTTTCCTGCATTGTGGCAAACCACTTCAGTTTGCAGTCTTTAGAATTGATTGAGTTAATTGAAAAGCAGTGGCTGCTTTTTTGCTTGCAAAATTCTTCATGAAACTCACTGAACTCTCTCCAAGCTCACAGGTGTTGAAACACCTAGAAGTTGGCCTTCTACCATAAAGCTAGATAAATGATGAGGAAAATAAAGCCATATATAAATCTCTCTCTCTCTTGTGGATTCAGCGTCAGGAGTTGGAGTCAGAGAACAAGAAGCTCAAACATGATTTGAATGAGATGCGTCAGTCTCTGAGAGGCAGCGCTGAGGCCGGTTCTGCCGCTCCGGGTTCTCCTGCGTACACGGTCCTGCTGGATCAGCTGAATGCCTCCAACGAGGAGCTGGAGGTGCGGAAGGAGGAGGTGCTCATCCTGCGCTCTCAACTCGTCAGTCAGAAAGAGGCCATGCAACACAAGGTCAGAAACAAAACCTTTCATTCTTACATAAAATATATCAGGATTTCCAGATGTTTCTAAACAGTTAGTGCATAATACAGTATCTGTTACTTACATTATTCTCTTCATAAGTCTTGTTAACATCTGTAACTTAATTTCTCCTTTTGTCCTGTGTTGCACTCATATCAGGATGAGAAGGTATGTTGGTCAGACAGCATAACAATCATTTCACTTCACCTCTGTTCTGGCCTCTAAAATGCGTTGAAGAAGTTACATTGAAACATACTTGCCAAGATGTTCTTTAAAGGATTACTTCACTTCCAGAATAAAAATGTCCTTGATAATTTACTCCCATGTCATCCGAGATGTTCATGTCTTTCTTTCTTCAGTTAAAAAGAAATTAAGGAAAAATGTTGAGGAAAACATTCCAGTATTTTTCAACATATAGTGGACTTCAATGGTGATCAACGGGATGAAGGTCCAAATTGCAATTTCAATGCAGCTTCAAAGGACTCTACACAATCCCAGATGAGGAATAAGGGTCTTATCTAGACTTTTTCTAAAAAAAAAAAAAATTTATATACTTTTTAACCACAAATGCTCGACCTCACGCATTGCATAGTCACATTGGAAAGGCCACTGTCCAATGTTTACAAAGCGAACATCCCAAAAAATGTGAAGCACCCTTTACAAAAAAACAACGATGTTGGATGATTTTGAAGTTAGAGAAACTTAGATTCTGAGTTTTGCCACCTACTCTACCTTTTTGAAGCAAAGTACACAGTTGAAGAACTAACCGCGCATGACCTTTCCAACGTGATTATGTAATGCATGAAGTCGCGCATGCGCATCTCAGAGCTAGTGCAAGACGAGCATTTGTGGTTAAAACATATATACATTTTTATTATTATTGTTTTGTTTTGTTTTTTTTAGAAAAAGTCAGATTGTTTCGCTAGATAAGACTCTTAGTCCCCGGCTGGGAACTCGTGTACAGCCTTTGAAGCTGCAATGAAACTGCCATTTGGACCTTTAACCCGCTGATCACCAGTGAAGTCCACTATATGGATAAAAATCCTGAAATGTTTTCCTCAAAAACCTTAATTTCTTTTCGACTGAAGAAAGGAAGACATGCACATCTTGGATGACATGGGGGTGAGTAAATTATCAGGAAATCTTTATTCTGGAAGTGAACTAATCCTTTAATTTAAAATAGTATAAAGCATGTCATCTGTTGTCATGTATGTGTGCTAATGTTAACTTTACAGTTTTAATGCACGACCAATTTTTTTTAACAAAATTCAAATTTTACTTTTATTAATTGAGAAGGAAATGAAGTGCTATATTAGAACCAGGTCTTTGTGTTGTGCCTGATGCTTAAATGTATTATAAAAGTCAAAGTTAGTCGATGGATGCAGTGATTTGTAACTTGTGAATGTGAACCTCCTGCGTGTGTTTAGGCGACCATGACTGAGCCTTTGCCGTACATTGAGGATGTGCAGAAGCTGACTGATGCCAAGGAGATCTCCCAGGCCTACATGGGCCTTAAAGAGACCAACAGGTACATTACTTTTATTTACATTTCTTTCACTGTCAGTCAATCACATGCTGAATCACAAAACATGAAATCCATTGCTGAATCTACTGAATGTGTCCCTCATCTGGGATCTACTCATACTGTATATGTTGTCTGATGTCCTCTATCCCCCATCTTTTTTTACAACAGAGGTTCTTAAACTTGCATCCCCCAGAAAGCTAATGCTTCTCATATGTCACAGTGTATTTGTGTTAGAAATTAAATCTTGAAATGTTTTATACACTACCTTTCAGAAGTTTGGGGTGAGTAAGATTTTGAAAAATGTCAAGGAAATTTTTTTATTTTTTTTGCACCCTCAGATTCCAGATTTTCAAATTGTTGTATCTCGGCCAAATATTATCCTATTCTAACAAACCATACATCAATTGAAAGCTTATTAATACAGATTTCAGATGATGTATAAATCTCAATTTCACAAAATTGACCCTTATGACTGGTTTTGTGGTCCAGGGTCACATATTGTTTTAATTCTTTGAAAAGTTCTGGTAAAATAAATTTTTTTGAATAAAAATATTAATTTCTTCTTTTTTTAAATAAAAATAAATAAATAAATAAAAGAGAGAGAAAACCTTACTGACCCTAAACCTTTGAATGGTAGAGAATATTACATAACTATGTAATAATGGTCTAATAATTGAAAAGTGAAAGAACTTCAGTATCACATAGGGAACACATATTCACTATTAACTATTAATTAAAGAGTTTTCCCTCAGTAAACTACTAATTTGTTGCTTATTGAAAGTAAGTAAGGTAGTTGTTATAGTAGTTATGTTTAGATAATGGGTTGTGTTAAAGGATATAAGATATGGTCATGCAGCATAATGCCTCTCAGTTTGAGAACCTCTGTTCTGCAATGGATCTTTGTTTTAATATTTGCTGCTGGTTAAATTCTTTGCAGTTTCTCGCACAGACCCAGTAGTGTCACATCTATCTCCAACCAAGGAAATGATGACTTATCACTCTCACAATCCTTTCACAAGCCTGTGTGTTTACCCTACCCTACCTACCTGTTTGGATCAGCCCTCTGTCTGTCTGTGTCTGTCTGTCTGTTGATGGCTCATCTCTGTCCTGCACAGATCACCCAGGTTTACACGCAGACCGACTGAAGTGAACGAGCTTGTGAGCAGGTTGAGGTAACAGATGGACAGGCATGATGGGCCGCTCTCACTGCATGTGTGTGCAGCTCAGAGCAGAGCAGCGAATCAGCCTCATTCCAGAGCCCATACATAGACAAGAAAACATAAAACAAAGTCCAATTCCAGGCATTAACTCTAATATGAAGGAATTATCTCACATAGCCAGACCTTTGGCTATCAGCATAAAGTCTGGTCCACTTTACAGCTTATTGTTGCCAGGCACCACCCTCTTAGTCAGGAAGACGTTTTGGAGGAAAGCTTATTTGAAATAGATTATAGACCAATTTGGAGTCACAGTTACGTCACATGCAGCTGCGCGCGCATTGTGGTGGCCCATGCCGCCTTCTCAAACATTTGAGCAAGAGTAATGAGGGCTTGGCTTTATTGACCCTGCCAAATAGATGCAGAACAGCAAATTCAGTCTATTAGATTACTTTAGGTGATGGCTTTGCAGTTTTTAACAGGCTGCAACAACAACGCTTGGTCATGTGATTCAGTGTGTTGGATGAATGAACCTACACATGGCTTCTGGCTGACTGCTTTAGATGCCGTTTATTACTCATTATGCAGTGGACAAATAGCTACAGCAATTAAATCAAGTGAACAGATGACAAACTAAGTGCTTTTTTACATTTTTCAATGTTTGCTACATTTGCAGTCTTCTTTGTCATAATTATTTTATCTTCATCATTTATTCTGTTTGCATTTCATCTTTCTGCTGTTTTACTTAATACTTTAATTAGCCGATTGTTTGTCCGTTTCTTTGTTTTTCGTAAATATGTAATTTAATCAGAATAATCCATATTAATAATCACCCAAACCAGACAATAGTTCACCCAAGAATTTAAATTCTGCCATCATTTACTCATCTTTCTGCCATTCCAATCATAGAAGACTTTCTTTCGTCCACTGGAACACAAAGGAGATGTTTTGAAGCAGTAGTTCTCAAACTGTGGTATATCAATAATATATAATAGTGAAGCATAACTATACAAAAATGTTTATTAGAAAATAAAAGTATTTGTAACTATTTTAATGCTTTTTAAGCTGTGCATACAAAAATACTTCAGAGCATCCATATTGTACATTTCAGCTTACAGTATATCCAAATTATCCAAAGTGTTTTATTCTGTACAAATAATAATAGGATCTGGCTAGACAAAATTTTAAATTGATAAAAGAGACTCTGTTTAAAGATATATAAGGTATGAACTAAGTTTATTGTATCTATGTAATGAACAGATTTAGACTGTTAATTATCCATTGTAAATAGTTCCCTTCTCAGTACAGTAGCTCTCAAATCTAAGTTACATTTCAAATATCGTGTTCTGTTCCTCACATACTTTTACATATATTCCACATTGGGTGAACAATCCTTTTAACAAACCTGCTAAACTTATCCACTTCATGCTACTCTCATCAAAGTTTGTCACTTTTTGTTTCCATTTGTGTTTGTTTTTTCATTGTTACCATTTCTTTTTTTTTTTGTTCCACCCCATCAGATCCCCATTCCCTGACTACCATAAGCTGAATGAGGATGGAGAACTGTGGCTGGTTTATGAAGGGTTAAAGGAAACTAACAGGTTAAAGAGCAGAGAGATAAGAGCATGTAGAAATGTGTGACACTTACCTAAACACTAGTGCCTGCAGAATGCTCTCCTTCATGGTATCAAAACCTGCAAGAAAGAACTCTTTGTATAATGTTAATACTGGACTAACCAAAATGAAATGAGGAAACTCTTATTTTAAAACAGCATGTAGTCACGACTGTCATAAAGGAGCTATAAATAAAGGTGAATACTGCTGCACTGCAAGAAACAATGGGCAGGTTTCTCAACCTTAGTTGGAAATGGTTCACTCAAAAATAAAAAGCTGGCCATTATTAATGTCTAACATCTTGTTCTGAATGTCAAGAATAATGTTCTTCCACACCATTATGACAAAGTCACAATATCAAAAACTACAAAACTAGTCTGTACAACGGTGTGATATTCCAAATCGCCTGAGTTTTTGCTTGAAACAAGCAAAATAATCTGCCAATGGGGTAAGAAAAATAATCTTGTTTTCTGTTTGAAATAAGATTATTTTGCTTACCACATTGGCAGATTATTTTGCTTGTTTCAAGCAAAAACTCACTTAATTTTGACTTGACTTTTTCTGAAAACAAGACAATAGTTTTTACTGGTCTAGAAAATCCTTCTTGATTTAAGAATTTTTAGATATTTAGGCTGGAAACAAGACAAAAAATCTAAGTAAGAAAAGCGTTTTTTGCAGTGTATTCACTGAAATAAAATATAAAAAACCTAAAGATACATTTATTTATTTGTTTGTTTGTTTGTTTGTTTTTCCAGATTACTTAACATTACTTATTTTAATTTAACTTGATGTACTAAAATAATTAAAACTGAAATAAAAATAAATAAATAAAACTATATAGACATATTAAAAAAGACAAAAAATGACAGAAAAACATCACAGTTACTAAAACACTAAAATTTAAATATACAATATAAATATAAAATAAAATAATAAAAATGAAAACCATAATAATATCTTAAAGATACTAAAATTACACTGATCAGCACAATATTTTAGAAGTCAAATATGAAGCTTAACAGTGAATAACAACATAATCTCAATTTGATCCTCAGCCAAAGCTGTCTGCTATATGACTTCAGATGACCTGGAATATAGCACACAGATTGCATGTTCTATTTTTATGGTGTAATATCATTGTGTGGAAAAGCTGCATAAAAAACTTTGGAAATTGTCCTTACAATATTTAGGTTTAAAATGACGATTGTTAGTAAATAATGACAGCATTTTCATCTTTGGATGAACTGTTCCTTTAACGCTTCACAACAGAAAACTCAAAACAGAATCAAAAGCTCTTCTAATGAAGAACTGTGTTTCTGGTTATTTGCTCTCTCTCTGTCTGTGTAGGTTGTTGGAGTCTCAGTTGCAGGCTCAGCGGCGGTCTCATGAGAACGAGGTGGAGGTTTTGCGTGGAGAATTGCAGAGTGTTAAAGAGGAGAATAACCGCCAGCAGCAGCTGTTAGCTCAGAACCTGCAGCTTCCTCCAGAGGCCCGAATCGAGGCCAGTCTACAGCACGAGATCACGCGCCTCACCAACGAGAACCTGGTCAGTACAAACACACTACTAACACTTTCCTATACCAGTGGTTCTCAACCTACATCCTTTCCTTTTCCTTTCAACAGCGTTAGGTGTCCCATAAATGTCAGTTGATTATTAGAGTAGTGTTATTGCCTATTTTTCATTATTAATTTCATTATTAGTTAGTAATCAGTCATTTTCAAGATGAAATTGTATGCAACCTTGCTTTTGTTCCTTAAAGGGGTCATAGGATGCTACATGCACTTTTACAAGTTGTTTGAACTGAAATGTGTGTTGGCAGAACATTTTTAACCAAACTATGTTACAGACTTTTCATTAAGATCCTAAAGAATCATATCAACTTGTGGAAAATGGGCATCCTATGACCCCTTTAAAGTGGTCAAATGTACAAAAAGGTTGGGAACCACTTCCTTATACCGAATGAGTTTATGAATGTTGGCCCTCAGCAAAAAGCTCCTCACAATCTAAAACGGTTTATTTTCTTAATTTCTGGTGACGGTTCAAGACCCTGTGATATGATAAATGTAGTATTATATATATATATATATATATATATATATATTTGAGTGTTCTCTTATACAGTAAGTTGACAAAACTAGCCTTTAGCAGATATTCCAAAAATGTTAATTTAAACAAAATAATTTAAGATATGTTTAATATTTAAGATATTATTTTGTGGCCCGTAAAAACTGATTATTTTTTTTATTTTATTTTTTATGGTGACATTTGAGGCACTTTGGGGTGTTTTGCCGTGAAACCGACCAATTATTTATTAAAGCGACAGACCCTTTCACACCAAGAACAATAACTATAACAATAAAGTTTTAATAATCATGCTAGTTCTATGAGAATAGTGAAATCCACACTATATTGATAACAGCATATAGGAGTGAAATTGTGGTGATCTCTTTCAGAACTTTTTTTTCCAGCTGATAACCAATAAAACATTGATCAGAATCCTTCCAATATTAAAGAGCTTGAGCATTTAAAGTAGCAGCTTGCACTTATAATAAACATTAATGTTATCATCTGTTGGTGTGTACGCTAATATAGTTATGATTCTTGGTGCGAGCGGGTTTTAAGAATAGAATTACCTGTACATTTTTTTATCCAATTGTGGTTGATTCCATCTCTGTGCATTTTATACACAGCAATACAGCAGCTGGAGTTACACATAGTGATTATTTTGTCTGGCCTCAGATTTATTGATTTTTAGTATTGTTTATTGTGTAGTATTGTTTAGTATTTTAGTATTGTTTTTCACCCTCTGGTTAACAAGTTTGGGGGGGGAAATGCAGTAATCCGACAAAAATGCAAGCTGCAGTGGAGGGAAATGGGTAATGGGTAAAATCCATGGAATAAGAGAAAAAATATTTTTGGGATATCAGAATCGGAATGCAAATCATTTTTATAGAATACTGTCATCAAAGAAGCCATTTTAAGCTAAATGCAGATGTTGAAACAGACAGACTATGGATGAAAACTGCTATGATTACTCTACTTTTAAAGCATAAATTTGATTTAAACAATAGGTCTACATAATATTCATATATGCAGTTCATAGGGCACATATTGTATTAGCCCTACAGTTACAGCATGAAATACTATTTAAACCTATTACTATTAACATTTTACATAACATTTACCTATTGTATCTCACAATTCTGACTTTTTTTCTCACAAATGCAAGTTTATATCTCCTAGTTTGGACTTTATAACTTGATTTAACTTAATTGTCAATTCTGAGGAAAAAAGCCAGAAGTCAGGATATAAACTTATATTCTGAGCCGAGGGGAAAAGAGAGAATGACAAGTTGTTTTTCCTTATCAGAATTGTGAGATATAATCTCAGAATTGCGAAAATAAAGTCAGAATTTTGAAATATAAACTCAAATGTACCTTTTTTATTCTTTTATTCCATGGCTTCCATAGATTGCTACTTGAAAACTGTCGTTTTCTGCCACCAGATAGGCTCCACCCACAAAAACGTCATCCCTGTTTGCAAACACTGAATTGGTCTATATCATGTTTCAATAGGACAACATAAACACAGAAAATAAAACTTTTGTCAAACCAGTTTATGGTGTCTTTAATTATGAGAAGGATGGGCCTGAACAAACTACAGATGTCATTTCAAACAAAAAGCTTTATAAACTTAAAGCACATTTAGAGGCGAGTTGAATAGCACATATATATATATATATATATATATAT